TACTCACTACTACTTTCTACTTCTCACTACTACTCACTACTACTACTACTACTACTACTACTACTACTACTACTACTACTACTACTACTACTACTACTACTACTACTACTACTACTACTTACTACTACCACCACCACCACCACTACCACAACAACAACAATAATAATAATGATAATATCTATATATGCGCAAAACTGGAATAAAAAGGTCCAAGCCACTTCAGTTCTGTTGACTTTTTGGCATCCACGGCATCCACCCATCCCGGCAGCCCGGCAGCCCGTGGGGGTTGGGCACCCATCAAAGGGCCGCGGGGGCCCGGCCTCAGCAACCAGCTATTCAGGCACCATGACTATGGAAACCTCCATGACTATGGAAACCTCCATGACTCTGGATGTGAAGCTCCCTAAATATCCTAAATATACAGTGGATGGAAGAAATCCTGCACCTGTTGGTAGATGGTTCCCATTATATTATAACCCCATGAATAACAATGTTTCATAGGAATCCCACTGGTTACCAACTGGTGCAGGATTTCGCAGCCATCCCCTGATTTCATGGTGAAACTAGACGACGGATGGCCCGAGAGCGTAGAGGAGCAGGGTCTTCTCTTGTTAGTATGGAGACGCAATATTAGAAACGATATATGAAAGCTGTGTTATAGGCAGTCGAGAAGAGGAGTATCAAGACAAAATAGTGAGAAGTGCAAGACAATAGTTTGCATCGCAAACACTTTTACACACAGACGCTTTTTACACACAGACGCTTTGACACACAAACACATTTACACACAGAGGCTTTTACACACAAACGCTTTTACACAAACACTTTTACACACAAACACTTTTACACACAGACGCTTTTACACACAGACGCTTTTACACACAAACGCTTTGACACACAGACGCTTTTACACACAGACGCTTTTACACACAGACCCTTTTACACACAGACGCCTTTACACACAGACACTTTTACACACAGACGCTTTTTACACACAGACACTTTTTACACACGGACGCTTTGACACACAAACACATTTACACACAGACGCTTTTACACACAGACGCTTTTTACACACAGACGCTTTTTACACACAGACGCTTTGACACGCAAACACATTTACACACAGAGTCTTTTACACACAAACGCTTTTACACAAACGCTTTTACACAAACACTTTTACACACAAACACTTTTACACACAGACGCTTTTACACACAGACGCTTTGACACACAGACGCTTTTACACACAGACGCTTTTACACACAGAGACTTTTACACACAGAGACGCTTTTACACACAGAAGCTTTTGCACACAGACGCTTTTACACACAGACGCTTTTACACACAGACGAAAGAGTTGCTCCGGCACAGGAAAAATCGCAATTTTACCTCAGTTTCTACCGATCGACCCTCATTTCGTGCGAAAGGGTTGCTCCGGCACAAGTCAAATCGCAATTTTACCTCAGTTTTTGCCGATCGACCCGCATTTCGTGCGAAAGGGTTGCTCCGGGGCAAGTCAAATCGCAATTTTACCTCAGTTTTTGCCGATCGACCTTCATTTCGTGCGAAAGAGTTGCTCCAGGGCAAGTCAAATCGCAATTTTCCCGCAGTTTTTGCCGATCGACCCTCATTTCGTGCGAAAGGGTTGCTCCGGGGCAAGTAAAATCGCAATTTTACCTCAGTTTTTGCCGATCGACCCTCATTTCGTGCGAAAGAGTTGCTCCAGGGCAAGTCAAATCGCAAATTTACCTCAGTTTTTGCCGATCGACCCTCATTTCGTGCGAAAGGGTTGCTCCGGGGCAAGTAAAATCGCAATTTTTCCTCAGTTTTTGACGATCGACCCTCATTTCGTGCGAAAGGGTTGCTTTAGCACAAGTAAAATCGCAAATTTACCTCAGTTTTGGCCGATCGACCCTCATTTCGTGCGAAAGGGTTGCTCCGGCACAAGTCAAATCGCAATTTTACCTCAGTTTTTGCCGATCGACCCTCATTTCGTGCGAAAGGGTTGCTCCAGGACAAGTCAAATCGCAATTTTACTTCAGTTTTTGCCGATCGACCCTCATTTCGTGCGAAAGGGTTGACGTTTCGTGACTCGCCGCCGGCACCACCCTCGGCCTTAAGAGAGAAAGATAAAAAGAAGGCGTGAGAGAGAAGGTGAGCAGGTGTGAAGATAAGAAGATGTGAAGATGAGCAGATGTGAAGATGAGCAGATGTGAAGATGAGCAGATGTGAAGGTGAGCAGATGTGAAGATGAGCAGATGTGAAGATGGGAAGGTGTGAAGATGAGCAGATGTGAAGATGAGCAGATGTGAAGATGAGCAGATGTGAAGATGAGAAGATGGGAAGGTGTGAAGATGAGCAGATGTGAAGATGAGCAGGTGTGAAGATAAGAAGATGTGAAGATGAGCAGATGTGAAGATGAGCAGATGTGAAGATGAACAGATGTGAAGATGAGCAGATGTGAAGATGAGCAGATGTGAAGATGAGCAGATGTGAAGATGAGCAGATGTGAAGATGAGAAGATGTGAAGATGGGAAGGTGTGAAGATGAGCAGATGTGAAGATGTGAAGATGAGCAGATTTGAAGATGAGCAGATGTGAAGATGAGCAGATGTGAAGATGGGAAGGTGTGAAGATGAGCAGATGTGAAGATGGGAAGGTGTGAAGATGAGCAGATGTGAAGATGAGAGGATGTGAAGATGAGAGGATGTGAAGATGAGCAGATGTGAAGATGAGAGGATGTGAAGATGAGATGTGAAGATGAGAGGATGTGAAGATGAGAGGATGTGAAGATGAGAGGATGTGAAGATGAAAAGATGTGAAGATGAGCAGATGTGAAGATGAGAAGATGTGAAGATGAGCAGATGTGAAGATGAGAAGATGTTTTACAGACCCCCACTATTGGAAGAACCCTGCGCTCAGACGCTCTCGGGAAAAAGATGAAAAAAGAGTGGTAACATCCTCCACCGCAGAGCTGGGGTCCACAACATTTCCGGTACAGATGGCACAGAGGGGACGACCTACACGGGTGGCGGGATAGTGATCCCTGATATACTTGGGGGTGCATCCCACTTATGAAAGGGTTATACCCCCAGTTATATATATATATATGTGTGTAATATCCCCACTTATATGTTTGATTATATGGGTTATACATGGAGTATAATGAGTATAAGCCACTTAATATTAAGTGGGATGCACATCCAAGTACCCGTAATGAAAGACATGGGAAATCCCCCGCTATAAACCTCCACTTATCGTTTTTTTTCCAGCCTGCCATGTCTGATGGCCAGAGGCTATGTGCAAACAACATGGAAACAACATGGAAAGAACGACCTGGGTGATCGCTTCTAGCGGCGATCCAGAGCGTTGAATTCAATGTCCCCATTGGTCGTAGGTGGTTGGAATCCCCGCGATGCAAATCTGAAAAATCACCAAGCCAAGTAAATCACCATTAAAAAAAAAACGTTAAATCACCATTAAGTCACCATTAAACCACAATATCACCATACAAAATTGGTGGTGTTTATCCCCATTGGTTGACACATGACCGACTCGTAGACGACCGCCTCTCCAGAGCGTAAAGGAGCCAACAATCCCGCCGGCAGGGGGGTCGTTGATGCATCAGTGGGCCTAGAGGCTTGGTGCACGGGAAAATGCAAAAAAAGGATGCGAAATGACATGAAATGATGAATTCAATCAACCAATATACATAACTTTTATAATTAAAGGTATTGTGTGTGGCTGTGTGATTATATTATTCCCCAAACAGTGTGGCCACACTGAGGGGCTCTTACGGTAACAGTTAAGGCCCGGTGTTCAATCGAGGGTATCCGGCGCGTGTGGCATTTTCCCTGTAAATTTCCGCACAAAATGCCTCTTGTGACATGTGCATGTGCATTTCGACTGCGCAGGCTCGCACATCATCATCATCATCATCATCAACATCATCATCATCATCATAACCGTATATAATCACCACCACCACCACCATCATCATCATCATCATCATCACCATCATCATCATCCTCATTACCACCACCACCACCACCACCACCATCATCATCATCACCATCATCATCATCAACATCATCATCATCGTCGTCATCATCATCAGTATCACCACCATCATCATCATCACCATCATCATCACCATCACCATCATCATCGTCGTCATCATCATCAGTATCATCACCATCATCACCATCATCATCACCATCATCAACATTATAATACATTCTCCTTTTACTCCCCCCCACTGTTTGGGGTCTTTTGCCGGGATTATGTATATGTATATATATATATATATCTGTGTGTGTGTGTGGGGGTGTGTTTTTGTGTGCATAAATATATATATATATATTATTGTATATAAACCATCGTGGTGGTTCTGGCAATCATATGCCACATGTGTATCTATATATGTGGTGTATCTACATATATATATACACAGTATATACATATTATACACAATATATTGTAGACAGACAGCCAGACAGACAGATAGGTGTTACTTAATTATATACTATCATATATCTGCCATAATTATAACATGTCAGAAACCTGAAACTTGCGGCCATTTAGGGACGATTCCTCTTATTAACCATGATTCCAGTGAGGGAGAACAGTGAGGTCGTTATAATTTGTTCAGATGGATATAGATCAATAAATACGGGATATATATATATATATAGATATAGTGATCCACCTACGACATGAACGGATGTGTCTGAAATGGGGTATGTAGACTCCTAGCTTTTGTTGTATGTTCAGCAGGGAAAATAGCTTTGTCTGAAAATGGCTACCCCATTCCACCCACTGATTCATCATTTCCCCAACATAAAATTGCCATTTGGGGAGCTCAATTTTCAGACACACCCATACATCATATTGTTGGTTATATACCCATGATATACCCCTATTTATCCCATGATATGATATCCCATTATATAATTATTTATATATCCCAGATATATGGATATACATACATATATATATATATATATATGGGTATACCCTTTTTTATGGTCATTATCCCAATCCCAATCCCAATATACCCATTTAATGATACTTAGATCACCATTCCAAAGGTTTCTAGGCTGGGGCCCCAACATCTCGGGGACGGGATATGGCACCTGCAGCACCTAAGGTCGAAGAATCTGTGGCAATTTAATGTGGTTATATGGTGCTTGAATGGTGATTTAATGCTGATTTCATGGGACTTAATCAAGAAAAATGGTGATGGAATGGTGATTTCATAGTGCTTGAATGACTCTCGACCAAGTTTCAAATTACTTGGCTTCAATTCGCATGCAGAAACCTGAGGACCCTGATCCCAAGGGATATCTACTCTTCCACGTATCCCCATGTCCACATGTTTCGAAAATCCGAAACCATATAACTACAGTAACTACAGGTTTCTTGAGGATTCGTCCCTGTTTGACACCGTTCAACTCACCATTTGAAGTCACCGTTTCACCGGTGCCCACCTGAGCGTTGGTCAGGGGCGGCGGTGCCAATCCCGGCGCCGGTGTTCCGGCTCCAATGGCTCCGGGTGTCAGCACAGCAGCGGAGGAATTCACGGTGGCTTCGTTCGACCTGATGGGACGCCCCGAAACGTTGGGCACCGGGGGCACCATCCATCCTGCCAGTATTGGAACCCCTGGGGGGTTTCAAATTCTTGTCTTAAGCTGGAAAATTCAGCGTTGACTAGGCTTCATGTTAGATATATCTATATGATAAGATATTCTATAGTTAATTGGGGTCTTGCAATCCAACACACCACTGGGGGAAAAACCAACCAGTCCCATCCTGCCAGGTCACGTTTTTGGCCTCTGCTTGCTGCGACGCAGGCGTTGCGCACGTTTCCAATCCTGGGGCTTTTGCGAAGGTTAAGTCATAGAGGTTTTCCCAGTCGTCACCATGGGTTGAAAAAGTCACTAAGTCATGGTCATCCATAACATTTGGATACATTTGATGTCCAATGACTCGGGAAACCTCCACAACTTGGCATTTCAAACCGCCTATCTTAGAGATGTGTAAAAGAACTTGAAAACTTGTGGTTCCTAGAGGATCATCGTTGTGGCCTTGAACGGGTGCCCAAAACAAGCAAATGTGAAAAACCTGGGCCCATTTTTTTGCCGCGCTTGCGTCCTCACCGGCACAAAGGCCGAGGGTGGAAATGGTGCCAAGCAAGTCTTGTCTGGCAACGAGTTAACTCGTTGGCCCATTACCTCTCGCAGTTGTGCGAAGTAAAAGAACAAGTGCAACAAGCCCAATCAAATAAGGTTCACAATTATGTTTGCAATCCTTTGGTGATCCCTGGTAAGAGGCCGATGCTGTGGCCCACCAAGGTGTCATGGGCGACTGTGCCGCGTTCGTCCCCCATTTTGGATGACATCACGGCATTGCGTTGGCATCTCCCTGAGTTGCGAGCACCTGCATAGACAGAAAAAAAATGTAGGAGCAAACAAGCCAACAAATGAATAGAAAACATATTTGAGAATGATAAAGGTGGATTCTTCTCACTAGAACGAGATAAACATGGCCATAAAAATGATAGCGTTAATCAGTCAGCTGGTGACAAATCTGAAAGATAAACCAAGTGCTGGAAGTGCCCCTCCGGCAACTCAGGGCCGTGTCGTGGTCCCGGTGGTCCCGGTCCCCGGTGACTCAGTTGATGAGTTCTGGGTCCTCACGGGGCTCAGGTGGGGACATCAAGGTGTGTGTGTGTGTGTGTGTGTGTGTGTGTGCGCGCGGGGTCGTACCAGAAAATCATAGAAATTTCTGGGATCCAAAATTCTGGACTGAGATCTAAAATCTAACATCAATAACATCTCTATGCATTTCCATAACTGGAAAAAACTGGTCAGCATCAAAAAATGTGACATCTACACAGGATAAACAACGTATGACGATGTCACAACACTGAGCACCGATCCGTTTCCACGGGCTCTGCTTCGGTGTCGTACGAGACCTTACCAGCCATGTATTGCATTGGGTCCAGGACCCTAAAACCTGGAGTGTTGACCATATCCATGTGCCGGTAATGTGGTAAACCCAATGCCATAAACCCTCCCCAATAGAGGTTTATGTGGGTTGACTTCCTATTAGGATGATGATCAAAATGAAGGAGGGAGATGTTCCAGCCATGTTTGATGGCACCAGAGGGTACATTTACCAACCACTTGGGGGTAATTTTATCATCCCATAGGTATACCGTATACCAAATAATCATCCCACAGGTTCCCATGATTATCCCACATTGTTTGCATGCTGTTCATTGGGTTTACCACATTACTTCTTCATAAGTGCCATATCATTTGATTACTTAATCATATTCTTACCACAACACTTCCTTGTATGTGTATATGTACCATGATATGCCATTATATAACCATTATAACATATGCAGTATATCCATTATATACATATACATGTACATACATACATACATACATACATACATACATACATACATTACATACATTCATTACATACATACATTACATACATACATACATACATACATACATACATACATACATACATACATACATACATACATACATACATACATACATACATACATACATACATACATAATTACATTACATTACATTACATTACATTACATTACATACATACATACATACATACTTACCTTACCTTACCTTACATTACATTACATTACATTACATTACATACATACATACATATATACATACATACATACATACATACATACATTAATACATTACATACATTACATACATATGTATATATATATATATATTCATTTTACATAACCATTTTATATATATATACCATTTATACCACCCATGAAAAAAAAAACGAAGTCGTCACCCCATCTGCATCTTCGACGAAGCCGCATCGGAGGGCGGATAGCTCGGTGGCAACTCATGCCGTTTGGAGCCTGGCTCCGGACAGAAAACGTGGGAAATTTCAGCAAGGTCCAGAAACAGTGGGGGAAAATGGCTGGTAAATGGCTATTGCTGGCACAATGGCTGGTATAATGGTTGGTAGAATGGGGAAAGAAGGGGGATTTCACCAAGAAAACTGATGGTTTTCCTTTTTGAGTAAAAATATGGCTGGTCCAAAAGGGAATGCAATCGTATCATTTCAGGTGATCTATGTTGAATCCCCAGCTCAGATCCCACCAAGACCGTATTCCATCACTTACCCTCTGGTAAAAAAACATAGCTATGGAAGCCATGGCTCATTCATAGTTGATATTTACCTATTAAAAATGGTGATGTTCCAGTTCGCTATGTTGCATTACCACAGGATACCGGTTGTTCACTGAGGGGCACCCGTCTGTTGATCAAACGATGCCGCTGGTCCAATCCTTATGTTTGTATCCATGACTTTAATATCCGCATGACTATCGCCATGTTCCTTGTTGAATCCCCTGTTTTCTTGGTTATCCCCATTGCATCCCAGACGATTTTATCAGGATTATCCGGAAAAAACATGGCCAAAACTTTCAACCGAAGATTCCACCCCCAATGACTATAAAAATGTCTCCCCTTACACAATGTGATGTCCCCCACTTTTTAGAGTTGATCTATGTTCACCCATCTAACTATTTAATTGTCTATTTTTCATAGTTAGAGTTGAGATGGGTGTCATAATGTGTCACTTTGTCTATGTTTGCTGCTCACTTTTCATAGGTTTCATAGGTTTCATAGGGCATTTTTCCCATTTTTCCCAACTTTCGGCAGCTGAGTTCCCCAACTCTCCAGTTGACCAACCAAGCGCGCCATGCGCTGCGCCACGCGCCCTTCGATTCTCCTTACGGCCTTCGTCGAATCTCCGAGCTCCGGTCAGGCCAGGGAAGTAAAAATATGGCGATTTTAATGGGAAAATCCACCTTTTTAATGGGAAAATCCACTATAAAACTATGGTCATTTAATGGGTAAATCCATTATGGATATGATATTATGATATAAATGGAAAACTATATATATATTATGAATGGATATTATGAATCATGGTGATTAATGGAAAACTATATATATGATATAAATGATGGTGATCAATGCATATTATGATTGTAACGATGAAAAAAACTAATAATATAAAAGAATAACCATTGTATTTTAAATGGTGATGAATGGATATAACTATGATATCATGATGTAATGGATATGATGATACAACTATGGGATTTGAGTTCCAAACCCCATAAGTTAGGAGATAAGCCCGTTAATAACTGCCGATTATTCATTTTAATTCATGGATATGGTGCCCATGGTGAAATAGCACCCATAAGTTGGGATATGGGGCACTGGAACTCCACCCCACTTGGTGTGCTATGCCGAGTTGGAAGCCAATTGGATGATTGTTAGCGTGGGAATATTATGGGAATAGTGTGGGAAATTGTGATTTTATCATCAAAAATGGTGATTGAATGGGAATATCATGAGGATAGACACTCTGGTTATTGAACAGAGCTATGGAAGCAATGCCACATTGATGTAGTTCAATGATGTATGATTAGTTACCTAGTGAAAATGGTGATTTTCCATAGCTACGTAAAATTGAAAACGGGTACGCATGATGATTGAGGTTAGGCAATCATGAGGTTTGATATCATAAGAATTGGTATAACTATCAATGATAAATGATCATACGAACACAAGGATAAGGATAAGGATATAGTTGTCAGAATGAGGATAATACATCAAATAATCACTAAGTTTATCTTCATCCTATCAACCAAATATAAAAACTGCAGTCATATGAATACAGATGATTAATTTAATGAGTGACAATGATGGCTATTGCTATTGGCCAGGGCCATAACTACTAGTAGCAATAAAACAACGATGATTGTTTTGGCTATCAGCAGTAGTAGCAGCACAAATAGTGACATTTATATACATATATATATAGTTGGCAATGATATTGATGATGATATCATATTGGGATTACAGAGCATGATTTAACTAGAGGATTTATAGTAACCACCCATAACATTCAGCAAAAGTTGATATCAACAGTACCACACTATTCTAGGATTGGAATTCAGTTTTCTACCTCTTCTTGGCGAGTTCTGTAGCATTTTTCTGTGAATAATCCTAAAAAGGTGGAGGTTTTCATCTTTGAGGATCACCAAACCAGAGCCGATCCCCAAATCTCCAAACCAGATGGCAGCTCTGGAATTCGGCTGCAGATGACCACTTGAATTGGTTCCAAAGTCAAAATGGGTGGATGGTTTATGGAAAATCCCAACAAAAAAATGGATGATTTAAGGCTACCCTTTTTTTTCTGCAACGGGGCAGACCTTGGGAATCTCAGCCCCCAGAACTTCACCGGCCTCCGCATATTCTCGTTGAAGACTTTCCATCCCCTGCCATAAACAGCTGCGGGTATCCTTCTATTTTCATGACCTTGCCGGTCATTCCAATTGGCAAACCCTTGGCAAACAGGCCTTTTTTTCGTAGCTGAAGTCACAAATGTGAGTCACTTGATCAAAAGCAGGCCTGGTATCTATAGGCTGTAGGATTCATTGAAATTATATATATATATACACACTACACACACTTGCTCAGAAACATCTTATCGAATTACTGATGTGGAATGCATCGCACCTGCAAAAACACTTCAGTTAAACCTGACAGGAATGGTTTGATGATTGGAAGTGAGAAACTGTGCGAGGAAATCTTTCTACGTCCTTGCTCGAAGGATTTACTTGTTCTGATGCAGCTCAGTCAGATTGCGAAAACCGTACAGTAGTTTGAAAACTGTTGGAAAACCGACATGCCGGTTCTTGGCTTAGCCGGTTGCCATTGACGAAAAACTGGAAAATTGCAGGTACGTTTTCACAGAAACATTGCAGCGTCTTCGTTG